ATCCGAATAAGTGGTCGCAGGAGGGACACCTCCAAGTCCATCGAGTTGGCCGGGGATGAGGAATCCCAGGCGAAGCAGTTCATGATGCGGTCCGCCGTCGACAAGCTTGAGTCTGTTGTCGGTACAGGCCAGAGTGTGCGACAGGGGGGCATGCCATTCGAGGAAAGTAAACCTTTGTACTTTTTGGGCTTCCCCAGTTCGTAATTCTCACGCCTCGTGAGGTGTTGCTGGTGACTCCTTGAAGAGGACGAGAGGCAGTGGGAAAAAAGAGGCGAAGGACAAGAAGGTCAAACGCACCTCGATTCTGAATGCGATTATTTGTGATGTTGCCATTCGCCATAGACCAGTCTGTTGCAGCCTCATGCATCCACTCATTCGAGAATCAGTGATTCGTTCTGATTTCCCAGGAGAGCCAAGCTCGTCGGAGGAGGAACCCTCCGAGGCTGGTGAGCTGGACAAGGGCTCCATTCTGCAGCTGCCGCAGAAGGAGTTCTCACGAGGCACCAAGCAGCGGAACATGGATGACTTATCCCATCGCCAGATGAGCTATGTCATCGCCGGGCTCAATGGGTGCCTTCCAAGTGACTTGGTCGAAGCTGGCGGCGAATGTGTGATTTGGATGCAATCATGAACTCGCCAAGTTGAGTGAAGCGGTTTCATGCTTTGAAATCTCGATTTGGTCAGGAGAGCATACTGCACGAGACTGCTGCTCGGTTTCGCAAGCAGAAGGACAAGCCTGGAGAAACCACGGCACTTGAGAAGGCACGCCTCGCACGGCCGGTTGCAAATGCAAGCACTGTTCGATTGTTGATTGCTGGTTTGCTTCAGGCAAAGATGGCTGGTCGAGTCTGGAGGGCTCGGCTGGCTTCGCTTTGCATGCTCTGCAACTTGCTTGCATCACTCCTAGGTGGGATTCATGTCAAGCACGTCAGACGAATCCATGTTCTTTGTTGCTGAGTTACTGGTCGGAAGCCAGTGGACATCGGCATCACCGGTGCCAAGAATATGGATGATATTCACGAGCTCCTGAAGTCGCTTGTGGTGAAGCACAAGAGGCATTAGGTTGTGCATCGTTTGTGGGCCTTTGTTTCTCTCTCTCGCTCTCTCTCGGCAGCATTTGCCTCCTTGTGTCCATACGAGCACACCAGACTTTCAAAATCGGTTCACAACACGGACACAAACACAACCGACGCAAACACGAAAGCAGCCAGACCAATGAAACTATAAAACAGCTGCCCAAGCCCCGCTCAAAGAGAGGCAAGAGAGTGGCTTAGAGAGAGAAAGTTAGCCGCATGAAAGCTGCAAAAACAGTGACAGGTGGGGGAGAGGGAGAGTGAGAGAGAGCGAGAGAGAGAGAGAGAGAGAGAGAGAGAGACAGAGAGAGAGAGAGAGTGAGAGAGAAAGAGAGCGAGAGAGAAAGAGCGAGAGAGAGAGAGAGAGAGAGAGAGAGAGAGAGAGAGAGCGAGATCGTTTCGGACAGAGACAGAGAGATGAGCAAAGATCGAGGGCAGAAGTGCGAAGGGGACAGGACCGCAGGCACGCAGGTGTGGTCCGGCTCAGGCCATATGTGTGTATGTCCATATGAATGTAGGTAAGAACGAACCCATAGACCAATCCAGGAATGAATGCTTTTGTGTGTCTACATATGTTATATGTGTTTGTGGAGGAGGTTGAGGTTTATGTCTATACTTATGTCGCCGTATATAGGTGTGCATTGATGCATCTAACCTAGTGATGAACCACGTGTTGGCCGAGTGCCTGTGTTTTGGCTATATTTGTAACTGGGCTGGATGTCTGAATGTATTTATGTATATGTGTTTGCAATGTCTGTAATGTATGTATGTATGTATGCATGCACATGTATTTGTACATGTGTACATGTTACGTTCCTACACATATATACATATACATGTGTATGTTCTATGGTTGTGTGGATGCATGCATGCTTGTATGGGTCTATGCAAGTGACTATGCATGTATGTCTGTATGTATATATGTATGTACGCATGTACACATTACTAAGCACATATGTATATATACTGTTACAACTTGTTTGGTATGTATGAATTTATCTTTCATGATTCGGGTCTTTCGACTACCGTTCGATGATTAATCCTGCCGTGTCAGGCACGAGGGCCTGAAGAGTGCCTCCGTGAAGGAAAGCTACGAAAAAATGGTGAATGGCTTCCGGGAGGACCGACTTGTGCTTCGTGATTGTAAGCGATCCATGAACCGGGTGTGCGATTGCGAGTGATCGTGCAGTGTGGTGGGTGCTGACAAAAGTTGTTGGATCTGCAGTACGCAGACTCAAGCTCGGTGCGAGATTTTTAGGATTCCTGTGCTTGCTGCCATGTCTGGTGGCGACAAGGTGGCAGAGGCAGTGTCGCAGATGCTTGGGCACATCGAGGCGATGATCACCCGCACGGAGTCCATTCGCGACCAACGCCTCAAGGACTGGGAAGATCAGCTGGAGAAGAAGAGAAGGATCTCGATGAGAGGGAGCTCTCCGTGACTGCTCGCGAGGCATCTGTGGCGAAGAGGGAGTCTGCCGCCATCCAGGCAATGAAGGACGTGATGGCCAAGGAGAGCAATCGATCCAAGAGGGCTCGCAATGCCGGCCCGTGAGCTCCCGTTCTTAGCACAGCAGCAGAAGATGCTGATTTGTCCATGCGAGGCGAGTTTGCAGTGCTGAAGCCTGTTGGTCATGGAAGAGAAATCAGCAGGTTCTGCAACTTCTCCGGATTGACCTCTCTCTCTCTCTCTGAATGACTCACTCTCTCGCTCTCTCTCTCTCTCTCTCTCTCTCTCTCTCTCTCTCTGTCTCGCTCGCTCGTCTTGCACGCTTGCTGGCAGTGTGACGGCACATGCTTCAGTTGCAAGTTGGCAGACCTGAGATCGAGACCTCATGCAGCCATCAGATGGGATTCCACAGTGCCCTGCAGGCTTTTGTTTTCTCAAGGGTGCTGCTGACAGCAGCCAGTGGGCTCATGTCTTATGGGCCCGACTTGGCATATGCTCTGGGCTCGGCCATCGCCCCGCATGTCGAGGCAATCATCCAGCAGCGGGCAAGTGCAGAGATGGCCCAGTTCGTGCAGAGCATCCACCCGAGGACGATGTACCCGAATGACGACGAGCAGGCGGCCAACAGCCGCAGGGTACAACAGTTCGTGTTCCAGCATGTAAGTGGAGTGATGGACCGGCACGTGCAGGGTGCATCCGCAGCTCAGCAGCCGGAGCCAGAGGTTTCCCAGAGGGAGGACGAGCAGCAAGCGAAGCACACTTCGAGGGGTGGTGCTAAGCGAGTTGGCAAGTACAGGGTGGAGACCGGTGTCCTCGAGATCTTCGCCCGGTTTACGCCGGATCTTCCAGGGACTACGGCCCCTACTGCAAGGCCAGCCAACGAGAGTGAGCCGGCCTCGAGCCACAATTCACCGCGAGATCCGCCGGCCTCGAAAAGTGCACCGCCTCCGCCGCCACCTTTGGATCCACCTCCTGAAGTGCCCGAACAAGGACAGCCGAAGGACGAGCCGAGCAATCTGGCACCGCCTCCGCCTCCTCCACAACAGCATGAGGTTTGCGGCCCAGCCCAGCATCCTGCCGTTCCCGTGCCAAAGACTCCTCCGAAGGCGACTGCGAAACCCCCGGCCAAGGCTCGACCCTTGGAGATCCCTCGGCTACCGAAACATGTCGGTGTTTTATCAATGTTTTTCCTCGGTTGTCATGCCACAGTGCAGAGGTAAGTTTCAATCCCAAGTTTAACTAATGGTAGTCAATGAGTTCTTTGTCGAAGTGGATTGACTGACTCATTGATTCAATGATTGATTGGTTGAGTCCCAGTTTTGCTGTCGTTTCCCAGCAACAGAAACAAGAGTCGGTCCTTTACCCCCGGTTTGCAGCTGTTTCTCGCACGCCAGTGGTTTCAGGCCGGCAGAATCTACTAGTCTCAGATTAGACAGGTCATGTGGTTGCACCTAGTCACTAGTATCTTTGTACGATGTCAGTCGTGGACCGAAAGATTCAGTCGTGTCTTGTTCAGGTTCGCATGAATCTCCAGATAAAGTAGGGCCCTGATTAACTCACACACACACAATACACATTATAGATCTATATGTATGTACACATACATGCACACATGCATACATGCATGCATGCACACACACACACACCTACACATACATTCTATACTTTGCACATGATTATTTGACACGTCTCTGTGTGTGTGTGTTGGAACACATCTCAACTTTGAACCACAAAGCCCAGACCCCAAACCCACGCTCCAGTTTTCCTTAGGTCCGCCAATGTGTAGGCTGGTAGGTATGCTTTTTAATTCACGTGGACTGATAATGTACTGACCTTAGAATGTGTTACTGTTACTAGTTGGCTCTAGCCTCCTTGCTATGCAAAGAGTCATGTTTGTTCAAGGTGTCTTGCTGTATCGATGTCGTGGTGAGGCAAGAGATAATGGCTCGCTTGCTAGATCCCGGGTTTGGTGTTGATGGAACTAATCTTTTAAATTCTTGTATGACCACACCCACACACCTAATTATTCAGCTATCTGACGACATCCCCGCATGTATATGTGAATGTAGAGAATTATAGCTAGCATGCAACTGTCTTTTCGTGTGTGTATATGCAGACAAGTATAAATGTATTTTTATCTACATAAATGTATATGTACACACACGACAACTTTCTCTATCGCCTGCAAGCTCAGGGGAGAGAGCAAACGGGCTGCTGAGCAACGCTACTTCGGTTCCGACAGGAAACGCAGCCGTGGAGGGCAAGCAAAGCATCATTGGTGAGTTTGCTGGTGGATGTTGCTGTACAGATAAGAGAGGCGATCAGTCGCCCTTCGCTACATGTCCGGCTATGGTCAGGGAGTCGAGCACTTTTTTGGAAGTGAAAAAATCCGGAGCCTATCTTGTGCTTGCATAAGTGACAGTCTTCCATACATTCGTGTTGCAATCAGAGACGCCGCAAACATGCTCCAGGACGCCCAAGAAGACTTGAAGAAGATGGCAGCGAAAACGCCGGCCAAGGAGAAGGATGAGAAGGAGCCTGATGGCTCGGAAGCAAAGGGGCGGCGACGCCGCAAGGTAAGGACACCCACCGCCCGCAGGAGGCTGTTCGCATCCCCCTCTGAAAAGGGGTGTGAGCCTGTGCCCGGCGACACACCCGGAAGCCTTGAGGGGTCTGAATCGGGCGAGGACAAAGATGTGTTTGGGGGCAGATTTGCCCGTGCGACCAGCAGCTTGCTGGTGGACAAGCGAGAGGCCAACTCACGGCCTTCCACGAGATCCTCGGCTGCCAAGAAACGAAAAGCGGCCTCTCCGCTGTCGCAGCCGAAGCCCAAGCCCGACCGCCGCGATCCTGCTTCGGTTTCGACGAAACCGAGAGATTCGGGCTCCCCTGAGCCCGAGTTTGAGACGAAGGAGGAAGACCAGGCCGGCGACACGCACAGCTGCATCGATGCAGAAGTTGTTGATTCCCTCCCTGCTGGCCTTTCGGAGTGACCTGGGTGCATGTGTGATGCTTAAATCAGACGGGGGCCAGCGAGTGTCCGCATATCATGTTGCAGCCCAGGCGAGATACAGTCGTGATCAAGGACATCTTGGTCGCAGAGGACCTGCTGAATATGAATGACTGCCTGGACAACTTGCTTGACGTCGCAGAAAGCCCTTTGGCTTTGAGGTTTTGAAGGTTTTTGCTTGCCCTTTTCTATAATTCTGTTATCTGAGGCGATTTGATTTCCATGCTGGGGGCACAGTCTCAAGAGTTGTTCTCGAAGCTGACTCTGAAAGCAAAGCGAGCCTTCAAGTCCTGGCCGGGACTCCTGAAGGCCAGAGTGTTTGCAGGACGTTCTTTTTTTTTGTGCTGGATTCTCGAATGTTCGCAGGAAAACAGCTCACAGACCGATGCCACAGACTTTAAGCAGGAGCTGCCTGAGGACGCCTGGACTGCAAGGCTGTGGTGTGGATCTGCTTTGTATTTGTCGTTTCGCAATATCCCACACTTCATCTAAGGACTGATTGGATTGACTTGAGTCCGAGATCATTGCAAAGCTCTGCCCGCAGAGATTCTTGAAACACGCCTGTGCCACCAGACGCAAAAGAGGGACTTGGTCCCTTCATGTGCTGCGAGCCGACACACCTTGTTGCTCTCGTGCTGCCGAAGTGAAATGAGAGGTTAATCCTTGTCTCTCGCTCATTGTTTCGACTGAGACGATTCCATGCACCTGTTCCGTGATCACTTTAGCTGCTTGGATGGTCTCACGTGGGAGTCCGTTTCTGATGATTGCAATATCATTAAGACTCTGGAATCAGGGGTCAAATGTAGTTTAGCGGCTGCACTACTTTTGACACAGTTGCTGGGGGGCGGATAGTCCGCCGTGCATCAGCTCTTTCTAGAGAGTAGCTTATGGTGTTTCCCAGAGGATTTCATTGAAGGATTCAAAACAATAGCCAACTTGATCACGCCTTTCGTTCACTCATGGGGGCTGCTGGCCCGGTGCATTCGGCCACGTGCAGGCCGTGAGTCTCTGCCCAGTGCCCGGGTTCTGCTGTTGTTTGATTTCTCAGAGTCTGGGAAGACTCCAAACCGGGTCCTTGGCTTTTGATTAATTTAGAAGGGCGGCAGGGGTCCTGCAATATGTCCGTGCCACTTCGACGACACGTGCCGCATCGGTGTGCCCCTGAGTGTGCACGTTCCACATCGTGTGCAGGTGATCGTTTTTTTCGCCCTGGTGTCGCCACGTGCACAAGGCCCAACCGCTGATGCAGAATGCTCACGCCCAAAAATGCCAAAATCCTGGAAAGTCTAGAAGTCCCAAGGAAAACCCACACTTATATCGTTCCACTTCAGGAGCCACCAACGTGCTGCATCAGCTCTACGACGCCAGCCTCCTGGTGACCAGGAGGCCCGCACCGCAACGCTGATGCAGAACACAGGCAAGTTTGTGGAACGATGATATTCAAACCCGCCATGTGGAACCCCGGGCCCAGGCATGGAAGCTTGGTTGAAGGGAAGGATAAGAGAGATCGCCAGGACAGGGTATGTCCGTTCCACTTCGGAAATGCATTCCACATCAGATATGTAGCCACCGTGCTTGGCAGGATCGAAGAGCCTATCAAAAAAGCGGAGTTCCGAATAAAGTTTCTGGACAAGCTCCGGTTTTTGGACCAGAAGACAAAGGCCGGAAACACGCTGGAGGAGAAACTCGACCTCCTGTCGCTGAAAGATTGGGAGGCCATTTCAGTGGAAGGGTTTCTGTTTTGGTTTTGAGTTTCCATGAGTGGAGGTATGTAATTAGCACCCGCCAATTTCTTGACAGGCCCTGCTCGATGAGAATCGAGCCTTGGCTGCTGGTGCAGGCCTGTATTTGCGGCCTCGTCTAGAGGAGCCCTCGGAGCCGGAAGAGACGGCTGTGGTGCTGCAAGAACCGTTTGTTCCGCAGCAAGATGGACGCCCGGCAGAAGGAGAGTATACCCGCACCGAAATCTCCTATCTACGGACCGCCCGTGGCCACCGTGGTGTCTTTCAAATCCACAAGGCCCCTTGTTCTGGAGATTAAGCTTGCTGCATAAATACATATGAAGTGCTAGGTTCGCCAGCAAAACCAGGTGAAATCGGAGGATGCCACGGAGGGATACCTTCACCTCTTCAGGATCAGCCAGGTGTGGCCGTTGCTGAAAAGGCAGCAGGCCTTCCACAACTGGTATACCAAGTTGCATCATGGCTTTCCCAGAATGCAGGCGAAGATCCAGTCTCCCTTCTCGTCGCTTCTGTGTTGTCAATGTGTTTGTGCAGAACCGAGGCAAGACAATCTCACAGCTGAGATGTCACAGGAATGGAAGATTTCGGTTTCGGCCCACCTGATCCGATCCAAAGACTACAAAGGCAAGCAACAAGAAGCTGCAGAGCAGAAACTACGGCTGCCGTTCGATGCAGCGACACCCCTTGGGGTTTTGTTCATGGCCCTACCCTTAGTCAGCAATGCTGTCTCATACGCGATGTTCCTTTGCTTCAGCACAGCAAATCCTTAGGTGTGCAGTGTGCTGCAAATCCGTGGCTGCAAACCGAACTTGCAGCAGGGTGCCCTTGAAGTGTTGGACACGATTATTTCCAGCACTGCCCCGGCTGATTTGGAGCTCCGACTGCTGCCCAACATACCAGCTTGCAACTCTGCTTCATTCTGTGCAGTCACAGAGCCACGTGCCGTCAGCTGTCTGTGTCAGGCAAGATACGGTGCCACGACTTGGACGTGGACCTGCACAGTCTCGAAACCTTTCTTGGTTTCATGGGATGGCTGCCAAGGTCGGTCTATGTCTTGTCTGTAGTTTGGACAGTCGGTGCTGATGAGAGGTGGCAGAAGTTCGCCATGATCTCCCCGGCCCAGAGGAAACTTCAAGCAGGATAGTGCATTCTTGAAGTCTCGAGCCTGTCATTACTCAAGTTTTTGAGATTGAACACGACTGCCAGGAATCCGGCTGCACAGCCTCGTCTTCTTTATCATGCGAACCCCGCTGGTCGACGAAGCTTGTGAGGACGAGAAGTTGGCACACATGGGCAGGCTGTTTCGCAAAGTGCTTGTTGTCTGCAGGGGCAAATTATGGTCGCACGACTCCAACGACGGCTCCTACATTTGTTGTGCCAAGCTATGGAAGTGAACCTAGATGGTGTGCTCCTCAGCAAGATACCTCTGCCCACGCCCGACGACCAGTTTCATCCGGCAACGATGTGCCTTGGAGGATAAATAACTGCTGGCCCTTTCAAGCATCTACTACATCTCTCGTGCATTGCCTGCTTGTGCTTGTCGAAATCCAAGGGATGGACGTGCACTGAAGAAGGAACCGAAGCCTCGGAACCTCCTGGCATTGGATCGGTTTTTGAATCGATCCGCTGGTTTTCAGTCACAAGGAGCCGATCAAAGCTTGAGTGAAATGGGGCTCGAAGAACTCAGCCCCAGCCACTACCACAGGCAGTTCGTGCACTTGTGCTCACGCTCATTCATCCTTTGCTTGATTGTGTGTGTGAGAGTAATTTACAGTAGGGAGTCTTGTTGAGTTTGCTGCCAGACTATCCAGCGACTTTGCATTCCGTTTCTTTCGTCGGGCAGCCACGACCCTCAAGCAGGACTGGCACAGGCTTGCACGTGCATGTACGCAGAAAATCAGTTCGTTCAATGAATCTGTGCAGGAGCTGGATTCACAGAGGTTCCGATCCCTCAACATGATATCTGATGCGAGCCCGAAAGCTCGCATGGATGTTCCTTGGCTGCACTGGCGGTTTCGGTTGGGTGTGGAGTTTGTTCGCGAGAAATGAACCCTAGGTTTGGTTGCCACTCCTGACTGTGGACAAGACTATGGTTCCGTGGGTGCTACAACGTCTTAGCGACCTGCTCCCTTCGACAGTTTCTACAGAGACGAAAATGGAGGAAGCCCAAAAGCTTGCCGACCAGGCAGCTCGGACCGACGCCAAGCAGGGTGCAGCGAGCAAGGTGTTTCTTGGCAGCAGAGATCACAAGGCAGTGGTCACTCCGTCTGGCAAGTGTTTCAGCGAGCGGTTAAGGCCGAAGACGATATCCAAGATCCGGCAGCAACGGTTATCTACGCGAGAGCATTTGAGAGCTGTCTTGCATTGCATGGAATTATTAGAATGCGAGCTGGAGCCCCCCAAGCAAACGCTGATGGGTGCACGGCCGAAAGAGCACCTGATCGTGGAGAAGTATGATGGCTGCTCTTTCCGCTGCAACACACAGTCAGGCGAGTCTGAGTGGCTCCGTGTGGACAAAGAGCTTCTTCGCTTGGTCTTGCAAGGGGACCAGGGAGGACCTCTCTACTCGGCATACCAGTATGCCGCAGCGAAGGGATTTCCCGTTTGCTTCATCCGGGACGAGTCGCACCCCGGACTGATTTTAGGTTTGGCAACGATTGCACTGGATCATTGCAGGCCTTCTGGTGTTGCTCACACTTGCACTTAGGCACAAGCTCCAGAATCATTTCTTGAGGGTGCTACACTGCACATCCGGAATCAAACGTATTTTGGTTGCATTGGAAGCGATCATGAGCTTGAGAAAGCAGCCTGCTCCTGTTCTTTAGGCTGCCAGCTGCTCACAGGGTGGCTGATGAAAGCTCGAAACAGCCCCTGGCACACTGGCCGGGTTGGCGAATCCTGGCGAGCTGCCGGGACACGCTATCTTGAAATCGTATCTAGTCTCGAATTTGAAGTGATTGGTCCCATGCCCACAATCGGTGGGGTTTGCACTGCGAACAATAAGCCTTCCATAATCCTTGTTTCCAAGCTCTGCAGGCTCAGCCGGACGATTGCTTGATGCAGTTGTTTGGCACGGCTATTCTGGAGGAGATCCCTATCTGTAATCGGCTGCAGTGTGTTGAGCGAGGATGTCGGAGTGTTCCTTGTTTCCAACATCGTCTGATTTTCTGTCAACAAACGAACCCACTTCCCAGGAATGGCTTCAGCTGCAGCAGCGATGCACGGATGGACTTTGAACGGATCGTTGCGGTGTTGCACAAAGTCTGCAAGTGTCTTTGCTAGCAATGAAATTTGGCCGGGTTTTGGCAGAGTGGAAAGTGCACTAATCATCGCTGAGATCGCTCAGAGGCGGCAGGGGCCCATCCACAAGGAAGGCAGATGGATTTCATGGGGCTTCTGTGCAAGGGCCTTCGCCGGCCAATTTTCTGCAACTTTGCTGATCCTTACGTGGAGTGGAATGGAGGCCTCGCCTGTCGCTTGAATTGTGGCCGCCTTTGACTGTGATGCTACGGTTTGCAGGTTGGAATGAACCCTTTCACGACATTGCCGGGAAGTGAGAAGAAGAGGGCCACAGACGCCGACCGTGTGGTCGATCTCTGTTTGAAGGACTGTATTTCCCGTAGTGCCGTTAGTGCAAGCCACGTTCATAAGTAAGTTGCTACAAGTTTGATGAAACGTGCAGGCATTGTGGGACCCGGAAGTTCATGGATTGTTCGAGGCCCTGAAAGACCTTTGCGAGCCTTTCTGTTCAATGGCCCGCTGGTTGGCCGCCGGGCAGCAAGACTTTGCAGACAGTGCCTTGCATGTGGTCTGGCTACTCTATCAGCTGTCTGTTGCATCTAAGCAAAAGAACAAAGCGAAAGAATGGGCTTTGCACCGGCACACTTTGTTCTGCAACAAAGCAAAGTTTGGCGAGCAGCTGAACATGATGCTCCGCACTGCCGTCTCCGTGCAGACTGCTGTGAAAATGGGTGTTGGGCCAGATTTGACATGTGAATATGTCGACAGCCATCCTGTGACTTGACAGAGTCAGAGCAGATGTGCCCACGAAGTGCAGTTAGGTGCAGATCACAAAAGTCATTCTATTCATTGGGGGGCTGCAGAAACAAACTCTAGGGTCATAGGAGTAGCTCGCATGTTTTCCTCAACCCCGAAATAATCACCGGCAATGCTACCGTCCTCGACTCGGCCTATAGTCCTAGAGGGGTGCTTGGAACTCAGCATGGTAATCGCGAAGTGGGTGCGGCTAGTCCGCAACGGCTCTTGTTGCTTCGATATCTCTAGTCTATGCCACCCGACAGAGAAGGTTTTCTCTGAAAAGCACCAAGCCAGTTTCCCAAGCCACGTACTTATCAATGGTTCATTTCAAACGGCTGTTCCGCTTCCGATGCAGTATATCATGACATCTTCTAGGTTCGGAAATGCAAAGCGAATGGTTTCCTCTCTCAAATCACCCGGCCCGTTTTGACACACTTCGTAGTTTCCCACATGACAGTACCAATGTCTCACGCCAAACGGCTGAGGTGCTTGTGATTTCGAAGCCGCCCCACCCGACCAGCATGGACATGACTTGGGATCATTTGCATGCAACACTGACTACCTTGATGGAGCTGGAGTTGTATGCCCTCTACTTGTGCAGCTCGCCTCCGCGATCGGCCTGCCTTTTGGTAGACCCCAAAGACGATGCTGAAACAAAGGAGCTGCAATGCACGGTTTTGCATGACATGCGAGACGAGTGGAAGATGATCCAAGAGATGGAGGCAAACCCAGAGATGAACATGTTGCTACGCAAAGAGTGCCCCTTTGTTTCCTTCCACCACTTCCGGGAAATCCCCACCGTTTTCGACCAGAACGACTGGGCGATGTGCCCGGACACTCGGGCATGTGTGCAAGCCTGGTTCCCCCGCTACAGTTTTTCATCAAACATCGAAGACATTTTCTCTTCGCTTCAGGATGCATGCCGCCGTGGTGTGAAGAACGGAGATGCTTGCTTGAGCAACTTGCAATGTGTGACTGTGCGGGCCGTGCAGCAGAAGATGGATGTGGAGGGCGGCCCGAACCTGGTGAAGCTCGAAAGTGAGGACTACGAGGGCAATGCCATTCGCAATCTGAAGCCTCGCATATGGCGACCAGACTCGGCATCGTCTTGTACTCCGGATTCAATTCTCGGGGTAAGCACGGTTTTGGAATTGTTGGCATTGGGACCACGCAGGGACCGTGTTACATTGAATCAAGCTAAGGTTCCGAGATGCGAGTGGACGACGTCTTGAAGCCGTACGAGTCCACGAGTGCTTTCAATCATTGCAAGTCTCAGCTCAATTTCCTGAGGGGCCTCCGGCTTGCAAAGAAGTGGCTGTGGCAGCAGCAAAGCCAGCTCGACTTGAAGTGACTTGCTATTCGTTTGTGGGGAGTGACTGCAGACTGTCCTTTCTAGGAGCGGGCGGGACCTGCTCGAGGCCTCGGAGAAGTTTTGGATTCCATCCATTTTGCAAAGGGGCCAGCTGCTGCAGATCGATGGAGCATTTTATCTTTGTGTGGGTGGGACACCTGCCGTGCTGTATGTTCTGGCCTCAGCACACTATCTGATGCCTAAGAAGCCTATGAAAGGACTCATGTTATGGTGTTTGCATGTTTGGTTAAGCCCAGTTCCTGTGGATGTAAGGCAGTGCCATTGGAGGAGCATAGACTCCTGTTCATAGGAGGATGGCCTGTGGCGACGGAGGACGAAACGAAGATGCTGTCTCGGGAAGCCCGGTATTCACAGAAGGATCCGCTTCGAGACAAGGAGAGGGTGAAGGCTCTCCTGTTGAAGATCCAAGCTGGGCAGCACCCCGCTTAAACAACTCAGTTTCATGTGCAGCTTGCTCAATATGATTTACTACTGCATGCTTCACAGTGCTTTTGCCAAGGCATCCTCTGAGAGTCATGCTGATGGATGACATCGCCAAAGTGCCGCTGCCTGCAAAATCCAAGTCCTGTCAGAATCAACTGAACGGTGTGGCGGTTAGTTGGTGATCCTGTGCGATTGCGAGCCTGTTCAGGTCACGGTCTTTTCCTACAGTGTGCACTGGCTCCCTGCCAACTATGCTGCCAAGCTCGGGGCTTCTCTTTGCTTACGCAGGGCAGCAAATGGGCTGCCCCCTGTGGTCGACATGGTGAAAAGCAAGGCGATCGTACGCTTGACATCAGATCAGCTCTCCAAGCTCTTGGCGGCCCACGGAGTACATGCGAGAAAGAACAGCACGAAGACATTCAAGACGAGACAGATCATGCAGCTGCCAGTGGTGACAGAGAGCTGCTCCCAGGAGGAGCTGGAAGCCTTGGATGTTTTGCTCCAGCAGCTTGATCAAAAACGACGCAAGCAGCCGAAAGACGACCAAGACAATGCCGCTGCTGATGATGAGGAGGCAAATCCTGTTTATCAACAGTAATTTGGTGTTTTCTCAGAAAGCATTGCAGGGTCCCAGTGTGAAGAAATGACTCAGGCCCTGGATGATGGTCTAGCTGAGGGGGCACATGATCCTGCTGTTGAGTATGCAGAGCAGATGCTTGACGAGATGCCCGGCACGGAGGCAAGGGATCAGAATCTGCACCCGTCTGGTGTAAGCATAACTACTAGCAACTAAGAGCAAACATCAAATTAACCTTGCACCCAATGCACACCGGGTTGTTAGATTCTAGCAAAGACAGGACGAAGGCGGTGGAGCAGAAGATGATGCAAATGCTGTGGAGCCAGAGCCGAATGGTGCTGACAACAACGAGCAAGATGAGCAAGGTGTACCACCCGAGCAACCCCCAGCCGAACGGCTCAGAGAGAGCCGCCACGCTTTGTCTTCGTGCACCCAAGTGCCCCAGTGGTTGCAGGAGCGATTTGCAATGCCGGCCGATTGCACGATCATACACATGGTGCACACATCGAAGATGTTACCTCATTTCCAAGTTCGTTTGGGCTCCGGAAAAGTCTTTCAAGGAAAGATGCTCGGACGGATAATGATTCACACACTTTTTCTTGTTTGTTCAGCATTCAACACTAAGCCGGGTAATATCTCGTATAATTGTGATCCATCAAATCACAAAACATTGGGAGTTCTTTCTGCAGCTCAGGGCTTCGACTTCTGCGAGCTACAACCCAGATTTGGCTGCCGACAGCTTTGATGAAACAAAGAAAACGATCAGCAGTCTCACAGCGAGAAAACGCAGCCAGCTGCAAGCTTGGTACATGTGTTTCACATGGGCTTCGGAAGCTGCCCAGCAGAAGAAGAGGAAGCGGGGAAGATGAGGAAGAAAGAGTTTGCACGCTGACAGCTGGGATTCCTGATACTAGCAGTAGATCACAGGACTTGCATCTTTGTCCTAAGTTCCCGGAGCTGCATGTTCTGCAATGGGCCATGAGTTTGGTCCCATTAGAGTATAGGCACTATGAACCAGATCCGAAGGTTGAAGCAGAACGATGATCTGAACTAGGAGGCACCCTCAAGCAGCATGGCTATGGGAAGCCATGATAGATGCTCATTGCAGCCCTCAGCTTTCGAACTGCAGTGCGATAAACCACCAACGGATCAGCCCTCAACCCAAGCTGAAGAGCCTAATTAGACCTTAAACCTCCCCTGACCGGAACGTCTGAACTCTGAACCGGCTGAAACTTTACCCTAAACACACTCAACCTTTAAAGTGTGCCTCAACTTTGCCCTTGAGCCCTAGATCCCC